TAAATTGATAAAAAAAAAAATCACACAGCCTCTTACTGTGGAAAAAATGGTTAAACTGAAAATGCTATATTAAAGACTCAGTATAGTGTTAGGACTACAAATATGTATTCCTAATACTAAAGTCCTGGAGCGACAGTATAGGTGACTGGACCCCTTCACATCACAGTGAAAAATTATTTTGCCGTGACTATCCACACCTCCATGGCTGAGATCATCTTGATAATCTTAGTCAATTCAATGCTATCCCTTGGAAAATCATTTAAAGGTAACTGCAAAATGTAGCAATGCTACAGTGCTAGTTTCGTTCTGAATGCATATTCGGAGGAATTTTGGAAATTCGGACATTCGGATGCTTCCATTTGATTCTGATTCTAGCATGGGGAGTGATATAGGAAGCACCTCTAGAGACTGCATCTAAAGGTGTGACTGGACAGCAATGTAAATGCTGTCTCTTCCTTGACCATTTTTCTGCCTGGCTTTCTTACTTCCTCTCAAGCAATATCCCATCCCTAATTCTTAGACATGTGCAATTAGTTTAGTTCCGAATGCAAATTCAGACGAATTTCAGAAATTCAGACATTCGGATGCTTCCATTTGATTCTGATTCTAGCGCTTTTGATTCTGGACTGCATAATTCCCAACTTAGGTGTCCAGAGAATATGGATGATGGTTGGGGGGAGGTAAAGGGGATGGGCCAGTGGTGTGATTGTGCAACTAGGGGCAAGCCCGTCTGGACAGGGGGGCGGTCAGCCCAAATTACTGGCAGGTCGATGTTCATCATTTAGGCAAGCCAAACGAGGGAAGACCTTGAGGGGATCACTGTTTCAGGGCTCTCTGCAGGGTCCCAGTGCCCTGAAAATTATGCTGACATAAGCAGGAGAACAGGGAACTTAATTAGGCAAAACTCAAACCCCCACTAACATCCATAGTAGAATAAAATAGTGGTTGCATTGTATGTATATACGGAGCTGCAGTTATACTGAAGGGAAGGCTTGCATAGCAGGATACAGAGAGCTAGTCTCTGTATTTATCATTCAGAGGCTTGCAGATTTGAATTTGCAATTATGCTAATCATTTATACATGATTGCAGGTATGATTGGATTGTCTGGCAGTCGTGTATATGGTGCTTGTATTGGGGAAAAAATAATTTTGGTTGGCAAAAAAGCTTTTAAAATATCATTTACCAAATAATACATTTATAGATAAGAAAATAGTGTCATAGACATTTTTCCCACATATTCCATATTCTGCTTACATATATTTTATTCTATATGTTCTTTATATGTGTTGTCCCACATATTGTATATGTATGCATATTATATATGTTGCCAGTTTAACTTTCCATTGCCCATACCATACCACCTCATATTACATGCACAAACACATATGCATACTGTGATACACACATATGCATTTACACACAAACAAATTGATGCTCAGAGACACACATTGACAAAGTATATCTGACTGTGTGTATTTCTGAGCATGTCTGGCATTGTCTACCTTTGTATGTACCTGAGATTGTATGTCTAATTGTATGTATCTGAGTATCCTTGTGGGTGAATGTATGTCTCTTTGAGCATGTGTATGTTTGTGTCTAGCACTGTATGTATGTGGGGGCAGGGCCGTCTTACCACATTGGCACACTGGGCAGTTGCTTGGGGGCCCCACAAGGTCTGCTGAGAGGTAAGATCCTTTCATCTCTACTTACAGCCCTGTTCACGTCCCATGTGCGTTTCTCAGCTAATGGGCTACCTGCACTTTGTTAGGACCTGGGAGGCAGATCGACCCTACCGTAAGCAGGCACGCCGGAGCGTACCATGGCAACGCTTCAACCCAGCTCTGTTACTGGGAGAAGTAATTAGAAGTATTCAGCAGTCTGTGTGTATTCAGCAGTCTGTCTGTGCATGGATTTAGATGTATGTGTGTATATTCAGTAGTCTGAGTGTCTGTGTTCAGCAGTTTATGTGTATTCAACAGTCTGTGGATTTAGAAGTATGTGTGCGTGTTCAGCAGTCTGAGTGTCTGTGTTCAGCAGTTTATGTGTATTCAACAGTCTGTGTGTATTCAGCAGTCTGTCTGTGCATGTATTCTTAAGTGTGTGTGTGTTCAGCAGTCTGTGTGTGTGTTCAGCAGTCTTTGTGTACTCAGCAGTCTGTTTGTGCATGTATTCAGCAGTCTGTGTGTGTGTTCAGCAGTTTGTGTGTTCAGCAGTCTGTGTGCATGTGTGTTCAGCAGTCTGCGTGCGTGTGTATTCAGAAGTCTGTGTGTGTATTCAGCAGTCTGTGTTTATTCAGCACTCTGTGCGTGTGTGTGTATTCAGCAATCTGTGAATGTATTCAGCAAACTATGTGTATGTGTTATATATGTACGGCATTTGTTGGCGGTATCAATAAATATAAGTTTATATTTATCTATAATTTAAATTTTGATTCCTGTTAGTTATTGGCAGGGCCCAGGGTGCTGGTTTTTCAGGTGGCCTATAATGTTGTGAAGATGGCACTGTGTGGGGGAGCTGCTTGCAGTATGTTGTGGGTATGGTGGGCTTCCTGTGGCATTTATGCATTATATATCTCTCCTCCCCTGATCTCTCCCTCGCGGTCCTTCTTCATTCTCTGATCTTTCTCACCCGTTGCTCCTCCCATACCTGGCCCCTCTGTTGATCCTTACACTGGCTTCCTGTATCGTATAGGTGTCAGTTCAAAATACTAACACTTTATTTAAAAAGCTCTAACCAACTATACAGGTTCCTCATCTACCTATTGTTGTCACTGTGTAATTGTCTCATTTATGGTAACCCCCCCCCCCTTTCATACTATTGTAAAGCGCTTCAGAATTATTTGGCGCTATATAAATACTACTACTAATACTACTAATAATAATATGTGCATGGCTGTGTGTATATGATTACTGTCTTCAGGTAGTGACTAGGAAAGGGTGAGTAAAGTGGTGTGGTTGTGTGGGGGAGAGTGACAGGGTGAGAGGAGGTGAGTGTAACAGGGTGAGTGTGGCAAAGTGAGCATGGGTGAGAATGATAGTGTTGGGGATGTGAGTTCACAGGATTAGAGATGTTAATGTTGGCATTGTTGGTGAGGTAAGTGACAGAGTTGGGATGGGTGTGGCACGGTGATATTTTACGTGATATGTTGTGATATCTTTTAATCAAGTTCTGTGCAATAAATAAATAAATAAATATATGTCATATATTTTTAAAAGTTCTGCCCTATTTATTTTTTCATATCTATCCTTAGTTACATGAGAACACACACATATCATTGGAGAAAAAAAGAGAAAATAAGGATGCGCCTAAAACAAGTGGAAATGTTAAAATAATAATATGGGAATAGCAGCAGTAGCAAAAAGTCCAAAAAAGTGTCCAAGTGTAATATATGAATGGAATAATCAAGGTACCTAATAGTCCAAATATAAAATGTCCAAATGTGCAAATCGTGGTCCTAGTAGTCCATCAGAAGGGTATGTAACGTCCTAAATGAGATATGCGAGAAGAGCAGAAGAGAGAGAAAAACTCCAATGGTGTAGTATAAAAACAAAATATGGATACTTTGTAAATATTTGTGGAACTACTCACAATATTCAGAGCTTAAATCCAGCTCTGGTGTGGATAGCGTGAAGTGGAATAATCCCCACTCAAGGATATGTGGTGCTCCTCTTTTGGTCCTTTGGTAGACAGATGGAGTCCAACTCGAGATAAAAATAATAAAAAATATAGTGCTCACTGAATAGTGGACAAGACGATAAAAATTAAATAAAATATACTCACGGTATATAGAACAGACGTACTGCTCGGTGGGTAGCGTATGGGTGGTATAATCCCCACCTTAAGGATTCTTTGGTAGTCCAATGTGGTCAGGATCAATGGTGGTTAGGTCTGAATAAAATAAACTTGCATAAAATATAATAGCAAATAATATAAAAGTGAAAAGAGGAATGTAATAAAAAATTATTTGTAAGGATAGATTTAAAGCTGGGTGCTCCTCTAAAGATAACATGAGGTCTATTGGGAATGATGAGCACTGTTAGCTGAGCCACCGGCACCATACAGCCTGTAAGGATACTTTTTCCTACTTAAAACGCTCACTCCACCCCTTGAGCGTTATGCCGTCCCCTGCACGGACCGCATGTGCGTTCCACCAGTGAATGACGCATGCGGTCCATCTACCACCATCATAATCATATAAATAAAAACATCACGTGACGCGGAAGTGGATGAGGCCGCGTCACGTGATGTTTTTATTTATATGATTTATAATTGAAAATTCACTCGTTTTTAACTATTTTTATAACCAATATGTTTTATATTTTATATCCTATTGTAATATATTTATATTTTATATTTTTTTATACTCTGCATTGTTTTCCCTCCTATGACGATTGGTGACGTCATTTTGGCGAGAATTTTAAAATATTTCTGTATTCCAATGTTTCATATATAAGTACTGTATGTTAGGTCTGTTTTCTTTCTTTGTATATTGTTTCTACTTGATGAAGCCTATTGTGGCGAAAGGCGTATAGAAACCTTTTTTCATTTTTAATAATCAAAGTGTCATTAAAGGAATATCTGGCTATTTTACACTGGTTTGCCACATTCCTCTTTTCACTTTTATATTATTTGCTATTATATTTTATGCAAGTTTATTTTATTCAGACCTAACCACCATTGATCCTGACCACATTGGACTACCAAAGAATCCTTAAGGTGGGGATTATTCAGACCTAACCACCATTGATCCTGACCACATTGGACTACCAAAGAATCCTTAAGGTGGGGATTATACCACCCATACGCTACCCACCGAGCAGTACGTCTGCTCTATATACCGTGAGTATATTTTATTTAATTTTTATCGTCTTGTCCACTATTCAGTGAGCACTATATTTTTTATTATTTTTATCCCGAGTTGGACTCCATCTGTCTACCAAAGGACCAAAAGAGGAGCACCACATATCCTTGAGTGGGGATTATTCCACTTCACGCTATCCATACCAGAGCTGGATTTAAGCTCTGAATATTGTGAGTAGTTCCACAAATATTTACAAAATATCCATATTTTGTTTTTATACTACACCATTGGAGTTTTTCTCTCTCTTCTGCTCTTCTCGCATATCTCATTTAGGACGTTACATACCCTCCTGATGGACTACTAGGACCACTATTTGCACATTTGGACATTTTATATTTGGACTATTAGGTACCTTGATTATTCCATTCATATATTACACTTGGACACTTTTTTGGACTTTTTGCTACTGCTGCTATTCCCATATTATTATTTTAACATTTCCACTTGTTTTAGGCGCATCCTTATTTTCTCTTTTTTTCTCCATTGTATTTTAAGGGGTTCAGAGGGGATCTCCCCTTCTTAAGGTGTGCTGCCTTGCCACTATACTCTCTGTCTCCTACCAGCGCTGAACCTTCTTCCTGATCTTGACACACATATCATTGGCTGTCCATTGAGGAATAATTTTCATTGTTAAGTGTTAACAACTATAAAATATATTGGTTTGACGGAAGGGCCGGCCTCAGCGGTGTGCGAGCTGTGCGGTCACACAGGGTGCCATGGCAGCAGGGGGCACCATGTGACCAACACAGTTTGCACATGCCCTGAATAACAGGTGTGAATAATGCAGGGGCACACAGCAACCGGGTGGAGAATTTCATTATCCTCCACTCAGGTCTATCAAAGAGGGCACAGGCGGTGGAGCTAAGTGACAGATGGAGGAGGAGCTAAATGCAGCCAAACCCTCTGCCTGGTAAGTGAGGGGAAGCAGGTTGTGCTCCCACTCCTACCACTAAACTGCCCCTGTTCTTCTACCTACCAATACACTACTCCACTGTGCCCCTGCTCTTCCACCTCCAATACACTACTCCTGCTCCCCCACCTACCACTACACTAACCCCACCCTTCTCCACTGTGCCCCTGCTCCCCCACCTACCAATACACTACCCCAGCTCCACCACCTACCACTACTTTAACCCTGCTCCCTCACCATCCTCCACTGTGCCCCTGCTTCCCCACCAACCAATACACCACCCTGCTCCCTCACCTACCACTACAGTACCCTCCTCCACTTTGCCCCTGCTCACTCACGTACACTACCCTTGCTCCCCCACATACCACTATGGCACCCTTGATCCCCCACCTACCACTACACTAACCCTGCTCCCCAACCTGGCTCTACACTACCCCTGCTCCCCTCACCTGCTACCAAACAGCCCCTGCTCCCCACCAAGCACTACACCAATCCTGCTCCCCCACCTATCAGACAGCCCCTGCTCCCCACCTAGCACTACACTACTCCTCACCTACTACCAAACAGCCCCTGCTCCCCCACCTAGCACTACACTGCTCCCCCACCTAGCACTACACTGCCCCTGCTGGCCCACCCACCTCCACTGTGCCTACTTCTCCCCATCTACCGCTACATTGCCTGTACTTCCCACCTACCACCACACTGCCCCTGCTCCCCCACCCTGCTCCACTGTGCCCCCTGCTCCCCCATCTACCACTACACTACCCCTGCTCCCCCACCTATCACTACTGTGCTCCCGGCTCCCCCACCCACCTTAACTGTGCCTCCTGCTCCCTCACCCTCCTCCACTGTGCCCCTGCTCCCCCCTCCAGCCCATAATGGAATGAGGTTACAGTCTGTCTGTAACTGTGTGTCACCATGTAACTATGTGTGTGTGTGTGATTGTCCTGAAAATATGTTTGTGACTATCATGCAACTGTGTCTGTGATTGTCTGTAATGTGGGTGTGACTGCCTTTCACTGTGTGTGTCTGTCTGTAACTGTGTGTATGTCTGTAACTGTGTGTCTGCCTGTAACTGTGTGTATGACTGTCTACCTGTAACAGTGTCTCTAACTGCGTGTAAGGCCCTGGGGCCTTACAATGGCCCCATGTATGAGGGTGGGGATAGATGCGTGTGATTGGTTGTGTATGTATGTGTGGTTATATCAAGGAAAAGAGAATATTTAAATAAACTATGGATGTGTTATACAATAATTATCATATGTTATAATAAATGCTGTGGCCTGTTTCATCCATTCTACGTTGTCTGTCATTATTTGGGTGAATTGGGTTGGTTTATGTTATTATGCTGCATCGCGATTCCCCACTACGTACATACATGACTGTCTGCCTGTGACTGCTGACTAAATCGCATTACAGCAGAGTCACTTGTCGGGTCCTCGGTCAATAGCACAATGACTTATGGGGCTACATAGCACAATGACCTATGGGGCTGGCATAGATTTTTTTCCAGGGCTGCTTCATATCCACAGTCCCGCCCTGTTTTCCCCCCCCCTCACTCTGTCCCCAACTCACTCTGTCATGCCTAACTCACGCTGTCACCTGTCACCTCCTCCACACTCTGCCACCCCTACCCACACTCTGTCACCCCCTTCCACACTCTGTTCCCCCTCCCTCACTCTGTCACCGGCCACTCCCTCCCTCACTCTGTCACCTGTCACTCCCTCCCCCACTCTGTTACCTCCTAATTCACTCTGTCATCCCCTAACTCACTCTGTCAGGTGTCACCCCATTCACACCCTGTCACCCCAACTCACTCTGTCACATTTCACCCCCTCCCGCACTCTGCCACCCCCTTCCACACTCAGTCACCTTCTTCCACACTCCGGCACCTGTCACCCACTCCCTCACTGTCACTCCCTACCCCACTCTGTCACCCCCTAACTCACGCTGTCATCCCCTGACTAACTCTGTCACCTGTCACCCTCTGCACCCTCCTTTACATTGTTAATTCCTTATTGTCCTTCCTGTATTCTTTCTACCTACTACTCTTTCTCCATCTGATAGTGACCTTTCCTGCATTAATTATTACACTTAAAATATACCTTACCTAATTGTGTTTTTCCTATAATGTAGTGTTGAAAAATATAGTACATTCATTTATCTAATTTAGTGTATTTTTATTTTCTTCCTAACCTATTTACATTTCCCCTTATCTACCCATTTACTTCCTTCTTCTCTCAGTATTCTTGCTTTCTATCTCTATTTTATCTTTTTGAGCTCAAATTCAAGTGAGAGAGAAAAAAAATGATTCTTGTTTCTTTTAATTCCTTTTTTTCCTTTCTGTGTTCTTTCTACCTACTACTCTTTCTCTATCTGTTAGTGACCTTTCGTGCATTACTATCATACTTAATATATACCTTACCTGATGGTGTTTTTCCTATAGTTTAGTGTTAAAAAACATAGTACTTTCATTTATCTAATTAAGTGTTTTTCTTATTCTCGTTCTAACCTATTTACTATACCTCTTATCTACTCATTTGCTTCCTTCTTCTCTCAATATTCTCTCTTTCCATCTCCATTTTATCTTTGTGAGTTTAAATTCAAGTGAGAGAAAGAGGAAAGGGAAAAAAAAAAAACATATATATATTTATTTTCTTTCCCTTTCTCTCCCCTTTTCTTCTAAAACGGAGCCAGGAGCCAGGCAGAGGCAATAAAAAACATGGAAACATAAGAAGCATCTTTATACTAGGAATGCCTTGAAATAGCTGTTATACATATCATTTTTCTTGAATTTTGTCTCTTTTTATATTTTATACCTGTCTCACTCATTGCTATATAAGTAATTTTTAGATATCTCTTAGTGCTGAGCGATCCATTACATGATCCCTTTAATTTTAACTTTTTTTTTTAATTCTTTATTTTTATTTGTGCATGCATTAACAACAAACGTGCAGAGCCACAGCAGCTGCAGGCATTTTCATAACTTTTCAATGTGTGGCAGTTAAACAACACAATTTTTTTTTTTTTTTTAACACATGAAGATAACAGGCTGTGTAACATTAGTAGTTCATATTGAACAGACTAGGCTAGACATGTATATGACCGGTTTAGTTGCGCTTGAGAGTGTGATACAGTTTTGGCATTACTTGTCTAAAAGGGGTAGACGTTTCTGCTTATGCCACTGTTATAACGGCTTAGGTTCTCACTTGTTTAGTTATCAGGATGGGCAAATCAGAGAGTGGAAATTAGAGGAGTGACAAAAAGAGCGCGTCTGATCCCGCCGGCGGTCAGGCCCCGCCCCCCTAATTTTTACTTTTTACCTCCATTCTTTTTACCCTTCTCCCCTCCCCTTCTCTCCACTCCTGCTCCTTAGAGTCAGTACCCATATCTTAATTATTTATCTTGGGTACTCAAACTATTTTTTCCTTAAACAGCAAAAAAAAAAAAGTCCTCTATTTTTCTGTCCTCCTCTCTTCTCTCTTCCTAAATTGACCATCTATTGATCCCTCTCTGTTTCCAAGTCCTCTTCTTTTTTTATTGATTATGCAGAGGATACTGTAACTTTGTTTTTCCTTTTGAGCCAATCTTCAATTCAATGTTTTAAGGAATCGAAAATCTCAATTTGACCCTGTTATGATCTCGATTTTGTTAGGGTAGCCCCAGGAATATTTCATATTTAAATTTCTTAGAATGCTTGTTACAGTAGTAAGTTTTCTTCTCTGTGACCTTGTGAAAAATGATAAATCTTGGAATATAGTTATATTTTTAAAGTCTTTGTGCATATTTATATTGGCTCGACTAGCACGCAATATTGATTCTTTAAACTGAAATTATTGAAAATGTATTATGTCTCTTGGTTAATGTTCTGGTATGGCTTTTGGTTTGAATAAACGATGGTATCTTTCCATGTTAGTGTTGTATTTTGATACTTCTATCTTCAATGCTAACCATAACTTCTCCAAGAATTCTGGATATTTTTGGTGTGTAACCACCTCCGGAACATTTTGGAATATGAGGTTATTGCGTCTTCTACGATCCTCTAAGTCTCCTATTTTAACTTTCATAATTCTCAAGTGATCAGTCAATTGTTCATTTCGATCTTTCGGTATTTTTCCATTATATTCCAAAGCTGTAGATTTTTCTTCATTTGCTTGTAATCTTTTAGATAGCTCTTTTAGCTGAGTTTTGGTTTCGTCAGAATTTTTGTTAATTTAGTTAGTTATAGCTTCAAGTTGCATTTCTAAACAATTTTTCAGGAAGTATGATGTAATATAGTTTTCAGTTTGACTAGAAGACCTTTGTATTGATTCCTCACATCTTGATGAAGAGAGAGATACGTTGTATTGTTTTTTTTTTTCTTTTGTACTCTTGTTTACTGGTGAGAACAACGTGACGGTTCTTTTTCTGTTTTCTGTTCCCTTTTCTTTTTT